ATTGGCTTCATCACTCTGTCTCCTCTCCACCAATAAGCTGGTGTGTGGTGGGCGTTCTGGCGCAATGTGGCTGCCGTCGCATCATCCAGGTGGATGCTGCACACTGGTGGTGGTTGAGGAGATTCCCCGCTTTCATGTTAAGCGCTTTTGAGTACCCAGAAAAGCGCTATATAAATGTAACTAATTATTATTATTAATATTATTAAACACTGTTTCACAGAGAGCTTGAGGGAATCTGTGTCTTTATGATGCCCTCAAGGCAAGGCAAGGCAAGTTTATTTATAAAAATAATAATAATAATAATAATAATAATAATACAAGGAATTTAAAAACTTTGATTTAAAAATTGATTTAAAAGGTTTAAAATGAATTTAAAACAGTTAAGAATAGAAAATGATTATACATAAAATATAGTGCAATCAGTTCGGACATCGCACAGTGCTCATTCAATAAATGCACAGCTAAACAGTTGAGTTTTGAGTCTGCATTTAAATGTGACTAATGTTTTAGCACATCTGATATCTTCTGGAAGCTGATTCCAACTGCGAGCGGCTGCTTCTAAACAGTTAAGCACCCTTTTGAAAAAATATGTGGGAAGTGTGTCAAGATAGCAGGTTGACGATTTAAGGTTCTGTACTATTTCTTCCAAAATTTTGCTATCAATTTCTTCTAAAGCAGACATAGTATCTTCTTTTTGATATTGCGGTCGAATCTGTCTGACCTCTGCATAACTTGGGGATGTCCTCAGAAAGAGCTGCTCACATGATGGTTCTGTTAGTGTGGTAGAGGGACTAAGACCTTTCTTCTTATCCTGCCCAGGAAACCACACATCTGCTCAGGCAAACCTGGAGCCTCATTTGAGTAAGGCTCTCATCACATGGACAAACACTGGACACTCACTGACGCTAATGAATCATCAACGTGAAGTACAGTCCATTACACAATGGCAGTGCTGAAAAGGTCAGGATGTTTGCTTTGACTCACAGACTAGGCTAGTACAAATACTAGATTAAGCATAGTTCACATGAAATTATATTGTCTGTGGTGTGACGTGTTGTACTAATTTTGCTGATCCTTTGGATTTTTTGAAAGTAATACAAGGAATAAGATACATTTTTGTGAAACTGTAATGGAAATATGCATTTTTCCTCATATACACTACTTATCAAGTTTGGAATAATTATGATTTTTTAAATGTTTTTCAAAGACGTATCTTATGCTTATCAAGGCTGCATTTATTTGATTAAAAATCCAGTAAAAACAGTAATATTCTGAAATATTATTACAATTTAAAATATACCTTTTCTATTTTAATATATTTTAAAATATTTTTTTCTTGTGATGACAAAGCTGAATTCTCAGCAGATATTACTCCAGTTTTCAGTGTCACATGATCCTTCAGAAATCATTCGAATATCTTATATATATTAATCAATACTAAAAACAGCTTCTGCAACCTAATGTTTTTGTGGAAAACCTCAATACACTATGTATGTTTTTTTAAGATTTATAAAAATAATTAATACCTTTAATCAGCAAGGACACTGATAAAAATGACAGTAATACTAAAGATTACGATTTCAAATAAATACTGCTCAAGGAACACTTGATAAAAAAAAAAATCTTTAAAAATGTATCCACTGCAAGAAAAAATTAAGAAAAATTAGTAATAACAGTGCACCTATAATTATTGATAATTACTGAGCACCAAACCAGCATATCAGCATAATATAATCATTTCTGAAGGATCATGTGACACTGAAGACTGGAGTAATGGCTGCTGAAAATTCAGCTTTTCCATTACAGGAATAAATTATATTTTAAACTATATTCAAATACAAAAGTTATTTTAAATTGTAATAATATTTTACAATATTACTGTTTCACCCTATTTTTGATTAAATAAATGCAGCCTTGTTGAGGATAAGACACTTCTTTTAAAAAACATAAAAAAATCGTAATTATTCCAAACTTGTTACCTATAATGTATACATTTACAAAATATAAATTATCTCGCTCTCTCTCTCACTCTCACACACACACACACACACACACTTAAACCTTATGCTCAATTACTCTTAATGTAAACACAACAAATAGAGCTCAGCAATGTTAGTTTTGCTTTTTGACACGGAGAGTGGACAATATCAACTAGTAGCATTCAAATGTAATTGCAATTCATTCAGTGCCTCTTCATATGTTTCCTTTTCCATTGACGTGAGCTGCAGATGTGCCACGACAGCAACTCCAGAAACACAAGCGCGTCTGTTCTACTCAATATCTATGTTCTAGACATTCACCAACCAAAATATATGTTCTAGACATTCACCAACCAAAATAAGACCAACAGAAGCAGATACACTGTGTAAACACTCTCGACTCTCGCTGAACTGTTGCCACTGATCAACACAACACTGCCCTTTATTTGTCAACCGGATCACGTACTGATCACACTAGCACGATAGCTGAGCTCGATAGACACTTCATATACTCACCTGTCAGATCTAGATATCGATAGATCATCCTCCTCTCCTTCTTTCTGTTGCACCTGAACATCATTTTGGCTTATTGTCATCGCCATGTTGGTGCCGCTAACGTGCGAAAACGCATGTCCGGAAGTGCGTTTGCGTAATGCTTGCGGTGGCCCCTGGCCAGAGCCGTAGAGAGTTTTTCTATGGCTCTGCCCCTGGGGCGTAGTAATGATCGAATTATGGAATTATGTAGTAATGATCGCGTAGTAAAAAAACGAATGATCTATGATTCTTTTTATTTTATTTTATAATTAATATATAATAATATTATATATAATGCTATATATTACTATTAGATTCCACCGTTTTTTGTTATTTTGAACAATTAAATGATACGTTTATTTATAGTATTTTAGAAAAAACAATTAAAGCTGAGGGCACGCGCTATAAAGGTAAATACACACATTTACAGCTCAAAACAGATTACAACAGCAATAAGAGATATAATATAAACAATATACAAAGAAACAGGAAAATAACCAAGAAGAAAAAAACATTAAGCCAGGGGTAATATAATCATTTAAAATAAATTAAATTCGAGAAGAAAGGAGAAGACGAAGAAGAAGAAAAAACATGCCTGTGTGAGACGGCTCGTGTGCTGGTTGCGTCATGACGTCCTTTCTACATTTTTGCAGGCTCGAACTGATAAGAACTTGTCAATTTCTGTTATACAAACATGTACACCCCTTTGCACTGCAGCCAAAATTGCGCAGCACACGATTTGTTCCAAACACCAGGCACACGCATTCATTCCCAACAGACGACGACTTCATTCACGTAAAACATGCCGCCGCCTTTTACGAATCCTACTACAGCTCAGGCTTAGCTCGTAATTATTAATTATGTCCTGGTGACGTTGCTTGGTAGCTTTCCAATGGCGAACGACTGGGGCTTAAATATTACATCTGTAATGACGAAGTTGTTTTTATAGGCCTGCCTTTAGCTCATAAATATTAATAGCCATGCCTTCACCATAGTAAGATTCGTAAATGAGTTTGACTGGACTGCTGAATCTTCTGCACCAGATCCATCCGAACTCACCCACAGCCAAGTTTGCCGACTCCGCATACAGCATCGGAATTACTGACTGCAAGCTTGTTTTCTCTTTTCTGTGGATCTGATGCAATGAGCGCTTTCACTCATTTCTTGAATCCTTCGAAGATGGCTTGGAAGAATTATTATTTGGCCGTCTAATTAAAAACGCATATTTGAATATTCGCTACGGTTTTTATTAACTCGATTCTTCACTGGTAACTGAAGCTGCACAGGACCATGGATCCTCCACCGACTTCAGAGAAATCGCATCTCATTAACGAAAGAAACGCCAAAGTATACTCTTTAAAACTTAACAGGTAAAATTACACTAATCTATTTCATTTATTTATCTATTATTATTTTTTATTATTTTTATTAATAATAATAATAATAATAATTTTAGGAGAAATGTGTGATTCGAAAATGCTTGGTCTGGAAATCTGTGCGCAATTAATGATCTGGATTATTAAAATTGATCTGTATCTTGTGTAGCATTTTATGGAGAATACAACATATCATAATAACAATAATAATAATAAAATGGCAATTTAAAATAGTTAGGTCTAATTGAGGATTTTCGAAATCGTTTGGTTTTCATACATAAGAACTCTCAAAATCCTCTGAACGTTACAGACCTGTCACAGCGAACAGATGGAGTCTGATATTTCCACATTGTGACACTGTAATTCAAAAGCCATATGCGCCAATCTTAGTTAGCCTACTTCACGAAAGCCATCCATGTTTATTCTGAGAACAGCACGTAATTTAAATGTGTATTTGTTAAGAATGCAGTGCAAGAGATGCTTATAGTTTTAATTTAAAAAGTAAATCATTTCTGTGCTTGAGTTCATTTTGGACAGTAGCCTTTTTGAGCAATGGCCTCAGGGAAGTTTAGTGAGCAGAAGAATGAGCGTAGTCTACATGGCATGGCTTCCATATGGGCTAAGCTTTTCATTGTGTTTCTTTGAAGTAATAAAAATCAGATGAAGAAACATAATTGTTATCAAAATCTTCACAGCCTCTTTTTCTTCCTTTAGCACGCCGTACTAAAATGATCCTAATGCAAGCAGGTGATAGAACAGTTTCAGCACCATGGACAGATTCACAAGAGTTGGTAAAAAGAGCAACAGTTAAATCAAACGCGTACTCAGAAATGATAACCCATGCATATTAAAAAATATATAAACATTGTGTTATTTCAATATTATTCCTACTCCTAATTATAAGCAGCTTCCTGGAGGAAATACATTTTTTTTTTTTCGTCAGGGGAAGAAATATTTTACTCGGAATTTTGGACCATTATTAGGCATAGGCCTAAATAACATAAATTAGAGCTACTGGTACGTAACAAAAATACGTCAGCATTTATCATGAATAATACGAAAATATGACACAAAACAATTATGTGTTTAAGGTGAAAATATGTTTTAAATATGCATAGGCATATGGGTGGAAACACTGTTGTTAAAAGTGTGATTACACAAAATTTTCACAAACCCATTTTTTTAAAAACCCAAAGCTGTATAAAGTAGCTTTTACATTTAGGATTATGTCGAGGATCAGTACGATTAGCTATATTCTATTTCAAATGCTTAAGTTGAACATATGTTTAAAACTGTGCGATAAAAATGAGTAAAAGTCAGACGATAGTTACCACAGGCGATTGTGCAAATGTTATATTGCCTTAGAAGTCATTTTCAAGTGTGCAGTGAATTGCAATGAAGCAGGTGATAGAACAGTTTCAGCACCATGGACAGATTCACAAGAGTTGTTAAAAAGAGCAACAGTTAAATCAAACGCGTACTCAGAAATGATAACCCATGCATATTTAAAGAAATATATAAACATTATGTTATATCAATATTATTCCTACTCCTAATTATAAGCAGCTTCCTGGAGGAAATACATTTTTTTTTTTTCGTCAGGGGAAGAAATATTTTACTCGGAATTTTGGACCATTATTAGGCATAGGCCTAAATAACATAAATTAGAGCTACTGGTACGTAACAAAAATACGTCAGCATTTATCATGAATAATACGAAAATATGACACAAAACAATTATGTGTTTCAGGTGAAAATATGTTTTAAATATTTAAATGCATAGGCATATGGGTGGAAACACTCTTGTTAAAAGTGTGACATAACACAACATTTTCACAAACCCAATTTTTTTAAACACAAAGCTGTATAAAGTAGCGTTTCCATTTTTAATTTTTACATTTTACAATTTTTACTTTTACATTTAGGATGATGTCGAGGAACAGTACGATTAGCTATATTCTATTTAAAATGCTTAAGTTGAACATATGTTTAAAACTGTGCGATAAAAATGAGTAAAAGTCAGACGATAGTTACCACAGGCGATTGTGCAAATGTTATATTGCCTTAGAAGTCATTTTCAAGTGTGCAGTGAATTGCAATGAACAGCCTGCTGTTTGCATTAGTTGGATTGTGGGCTTGAGTGAGAAATGGCGAGAGCTCAAGAAAATTCAGAATGAATTTAGATGGATGTGACAGGCGATTTCTAAAGCTGCTGAAACAAATAAAGGATCACCTAGTTAGCTTGGAGTCATATTACATTAACAAAAAGGTAATTTCAAAACATAGTACACTGGTGATGGTACATCAACAGGTCATCTGAACAAATATCGAAGGACATGGAACAAGGGCACCTGAGAAGTAGATGCTGTCCAGATAGGTGCTGTTACTCTACCCAGGAAGTAGGTATTCTGATTTATGCAATGTTTTCTCGAACTGAAAATATGCCGGGCGTAACATTTTTGTCTTCAAGAGAAAAATGAGGAAATGCACGCGCTATATGTGATAAATGTTCGCTATTTTTAACTATATCAATCAATCCTCCAAGTATAATGTTAAAAACATTTATTTAAATAAAGATTTTGAACGTTATTTTAAAGAAGAAAAAAAAAAGCTTTTTTTTCAGTCCTAAAATACTGTTATATCAATTACAGGAAATCACAGCACAACACTTTGCACAGTCTTGATCCAGTGACGTGTATAAAGATAAAGTGCTCAGGGCCCTGATGTCATGCTCTACTGCATTGCCACAGGATCGACAGCATGTTTCAGCCTAAAACCTTCTGCCAAACTGTAAACATCTCCATATGCACCTTACCATACAAAAGATACTTGTATTTAATAAATAGAGGAAATAGTGTTAGATTAGAGGAGGTATACTTTGTCTTATTAAAAGATACTATAAATGCTGTTAAACCTGCCAGGTGTGGTTGCCAGACATTAATTGTAAAAAAAAAATAATAATAAAAAAATAAAAAAAATACGGTGACGTTTCAAGCATAGGAGCAATTTGTGCCAGCTGTATGTTGTACCGATAAAATGTAAATGTTACTAATCTACTTTAGAAATAGTAGATTTTGGTTGTCAACCAACATTATAATAATAAAATAGAAAACCACAAACTTACAATTTGTAATTCATCCAGGAATTAATGTATATTGACAAAGTAAACCCAAAGCATCACATTGGTAAAACTAAATATAGGCATACACATAAAATGTTACAAAAATAAATAAACGTAAACTATTGTATATAACATTACAAAATAAGAAGAAACGTAACTTAATGTAGCCTATATGTGCTAATCAATGTGATTATTCTAGGAACCGTAAAATATGAGGTGGCTTGTGTTTTTACTTGCAAAAACCCGATTTTGACAACATTTTACAGTTGTATTATTTTAATTTACAAAACCCACATTTGTAGAGTATGCTATTTTGAAACTGTTAAGATACAGTCAGGTTAACTGTTTTTTTAAATATATCCTTTTCTAAATTGGGAACAGAAAGAAAAACTTTAAATTGTTTCCATTCAAATTTCTCATGTAATTTAAACTGCACGCAGTGAGGCACACTTCCTAACTTAAGCACAATTATATTAGGCCTACTATTATATTTTTAAAATAATAAAAGCTGCAAATTCATAAAATTTCATAGTGTCAGGAGATCAGAAAAGAATATGTGTTGTATGTATATGCTTACTGGTCTATGTCTGCTCAAAAAAAAAAAAAAATTATAATAATAAAACAACTCATTCAGTGTATCAAGTCTGTGTCCCGGTGGGGTGATTAAACAGACGCCGTGTTCCAGTCGACTGCCTCCTTTCAGCTGCAGCGCTCGCGCGCGCCTGATGCAGTACTCTGGTTATCTCATGCGCACCGAGATTGCGCTTTCCGCCCCATTAGCCCCATCATAGCGTCTCTCTCATCAATACACAAGACAGAAGGGCCAAAAACGACCATGTCAGCAGATTTAAACTCAGGGGTCCTCTAGGTCCTCATGGCATGTGTATTTACACACAGTATTTCCCCCTACATATGATATATATATATATGATGTTGTAAAATTTGCATCTTTTATTCCTCGCAGAACTCCCTGATAGGCTAGCAACTAGAACGGTTATTATAGTATCTTTTTGATGGCCGATTAAGAGTTTTAAGTCATTAAAATGGTGCCACTACACATCATGCGTTGTTCTTACAGTGAATTCTCAGGTTCCAAAGAAAGCTGTCCAAACTTGCCTTTGGGAAATGGCGACATGGCTGGTGCTATCGAGCTGAAGAGGCCCGTTGGAACTCATTGCCATGGAAAAAAAGCAGCATTCATTGAGAGCCATGAGAAACACATAGCAAAGAAGAAACTGTTCATCGCCTCCATAGTCTGTCTGGTTTTCATGATTGGAGAAGTTATAGGTAAGAACACTGTGCCTTTTTGGAAAAAGTATTGGGTTTACTAATATGATGAAGCCAGAATTTTTGAAGAATTAGCATAAATGTAACATTACTTCTCATAAATATAATAGACTGCATTAAAAGCACATCAAAGTTAAGGCAATGTTTTACCACTGAGTAGTTCACCCAAAAATGAAAATCTGCTGAAAATGTACATACCCTCAGGCCATCCAAATGTAGATGACATTGTTTCTTCCTCGGAACAGATTTGGAGAAATTTAGCATTACATCACTTGCTCAATTAATCCCCTGCAGTGAATTGGTGCCGTCAGAATGAGTTCAAACAGCTGATAAAAACATCACAATAATCCACAAATGATCCACACAACTCCAGTAATAAACAAATCCATCATTAAGATCCTCTATCCATAGTATTGCCTTCTCCAGTGAAAAAGTCGTCTTGTCTGAATCAGGAAATATGCACAGATCAAGCACCTTTTACAAACGAAAACAGTACAAAACTGTATATAAAAATGTCAGTGCAAAGCATTTATTTGGCTTTGTCCTTAAGTGCCAAAGTTGTTCTCTTCACAATAAATGCTCTGATTGCATTTCACAATCAAGTAAATGATGATGGATTAAGCAATTTGTCATTGTAGCACAAAATTACTTGTCTTTGACTCATCTATTAAATGTGATAAGCAGGCTTTTCTGTGTTTTGTTCAGCCTGTACAGCACTTTTTGTTCCAAGTCAGCATTCACAATCCAAGTACACATTAAAATAAGTCATTCTTTCTTTTAAACTACAAATTATTTATGCTGTGTAAGCCATTTGTGCCTCACTTCCCAAAGTTTTCTGTAATGCTTTCAGAGTATAATAAAATATAGACATTTCAGAATGAATGACATTTACAGTGAATGCTCTATGGTGGATTATAAAAGCAAATGATCTCCATATACACTCTTAAAAATAACGATTATTGCCATTGATGGTTCCATGAAGAACCTTTAACATCCATGGATGCTCCCATTGCACAAATGGCTCTTTATAGTGGAAAAAGGTTAAATTTTTTAAAATGTTCTCCACACTAAGAATGGTTCTTTTAAGAGCTGTTCACTGAAAGCTTCTTTGGGGAACCAAAAATGGTTCTTCTATGGCATCACTGTGAAAACTCCCATATAAAACCTTTGTTTTTAAGAGTGTACCTCTCTGATAGTTACTTATTTCTTATTCTCTGCTGTTCTTGTGATGCAGGGGGTTATCTAGCGCATAGCCTGGCCATTATGACTGATGCAGCCCACCTTCTGACTGATTTTGGCAGTATGATGGTCAGTCTTTTTTCCTTGTGGATCTCCTCGAGACCATCAACCAAGATAATGAACTTTGGCTGGCACAGATCAGGTAAGTCCATCCCAGAGTTCCCATCTCAATCCTATCAAATAAAATGTGGCATACATTGTTGATGTTGAAAATGTTACATCTAAACCATACATATCAATTAAAGAAACATTTCGCCCAAAAATAAAAACTCAATTTTTAATAAAATAAAAAAATAAATAAAAAGTCAATTTTTGCTCACCTTCATGTTGTTCCATACCCATATGCTGTTGTTTTCCATGCATGTAACTAAGGATACATTTCATTACATAACTTTTTTCCATACAACAGTAGTTTATATAGTGAACACATTTGTTTGTCAAGCCCCAAAATCAACATAAAAATATCACAAAAGGAATCAATACATTACTGCTGTGCTATATTCTACATCCTCTGAAGTTATAGGATAGCTTTTGATAAGAAGCGGACTGAAATTTAAGTTATTATTTTTATGTAAAGCAGATTTTAAAGCTTTTGCTACATCCAGCTGTGATGCCAAACCATATTTGTCTCAAATGAACATCTCACAGAGATTCTGGGAGCCCTGACATCGGTGATGTCTATCTGGATCGTGACTGGGGTGTTGGTGTACCTTGCCACTGAGAGGGTAGTAAAAAATGATTATGAAATTGAAGGCCATGTGATGCTCATCACCTCAGGTTGTGCAGTCGTGGTCAACATCATGTGAGTAGACGAACGCTGGAATAAATATAAGAAGCTAAAGTTGTAATAGTTTAGGTATAATTATGTTGGCTTGACAACCCTTACGAAAAAGAAGTTTATTCAAGTGTGCAAAGTATACTTTTATATATTAGAAAGTGGGCCAATTTAGTCCCAAGGAGTATTGAAATAGTACACTTACAAGTATACTACTAGTACACTGATATTTGTATGCTTACTACATAAAGTATACTTAAAAATATACTTGAACTTTACTTAAGTATACTTACTAAAATAAACTTGAAGTATACTACTTTTTGGTAAGGGAAGTCTACAATTTAAGTTGCTGCTGCTGCTTCTTTTGAGACCAATGTTAGCAGTATGCTAAATCATGCTACAAACATGCTAGCAATGTGCTAAATCACGCTAAAACCTGTTTGCAACATTATACAGACTTTCTCTGAGAAAAACCTTCAAACCTCAAGCTATTCAAAGTTTATTTCAAAATTTCAGACAAGGCTTTGTCAATCCAGCATCAAAATATGTCATCAGACTTTATGTAGTTTTTATATAAAATCTCAGTTATTAGAAATAAAGTCAAGATTCAGAGATTTAATTAGCAATTGTGGAAGGTACAGATACTTAAAAAAACGAAACAATAAAAACTAGAATTTTGATGAATTGATATGCTTGTGTGTGCATTATTGTTTCTATTCCAGAATGGCCTATATTCTACACCATTCCACGACCTTCCACAGTCATGGTTCAGGCTACCACAAGATTGATGAGAATGGGATGAGCCCTGTGGGCCATGGCCACTCCCACAGCCTCCTGGGTAATCATGGGAACACCAGTGTCAGAGCAGCATTTATTCATGTTTTGGGGGATCTCTTACAGAGCTTTGGAGTGATGGTGGCCGCCATCACAATCTACTTCAGGGTAAATGAACACTAACATAAAGAATCATCCAAAAAATGTACCTCTTACCTTACCTCTTTCAAGCCCTTAAAGCTCAATATAAAATGGAGTTCAGTCCAATTAACTTCCATTTGCCAATGAATCAGAATAATTTGTGTAAATAATGGATGTGAAAGTTGTTTCTTTTAGAATAGTGTTCACTGATGAATCATGCACAGTAAGAGTCATTTATAAAGGCAAATAAGGTCAATTATATTTAATGGCATGAGAATAGTTTAATGAAAGATATGGATATTTACTGTATATTTATTCATTATTTTGAGAAAGAAAAATTCTAAACTAATTATTTACACTTCTGTTCAAAAGTCAGTAAGACCTTTTGAAAGACATTACTTTTATTCAGCAGAATGCATTAAAGACACTGGAGTAAAAACATAGACATTTAATTAAAAAAATTATATTTCAAATATTTAAATGCTGTTCTTTTGAACTATAGTCTGACAAAGAAGGTATAACAGCCTATACAAAATTATTAAGCAGCACAACTGTTTTCAACATTGATAATAATAAGAAATTAAGCACCAAATTTCTGAAGAATCATGTGACACTGAATATTCAGCTTTAGCATCACAGGAATAAATTCCATTTTAAAATATATTAAATATTTCACGATATTGCTCTTTTACTGTATTTTTGATCAAATAAATGCAGCCTTATTGAACATAAGAGCCTTTAAAAAAATCTTACTGATCCCCAGCTTTTGAACAGCAGTGTATATATGTACCTTTTCTTTTCTTTCTTTTAGATTATTTATTTATTTGAAATCAAATTAAATTACCTTAAAAAGGAAAAGGACACTGAATTCTTCCATGACTCTAAAAGCACCTGAGTGGAGAATGTTTCGTCTGACATCTGTAGTCTAATTCAATTTGACACTTTGCAAAGAACCATCTGATTTGGTTCTTTAATGCTTCAGTAACTCCTATTCTCTCTCACGCAGCCAGAATATAAAGTAGCCGATCCCATTTGCACTTTCCTCTTCTCTGTGTTCGTCCTGGGCACCACCATTACCATCCTGAGAGATGTCTTCCGCATTCTCATGGAGGGTAAATTTGCACATTTAATAATTAAATTACAGTTGCCTTATTCTCAATCACATAAAATATGCATGCAATGTCGTGTAATACATGTGGTTTAATATTCTCCATTTAAAAGTGATGTGTGTAACATTTCAAACAAATTTCCCAAACACAACCCTGTCCCAAAAAAGTGAAAATAAAATGATACTCATCACGTTTAAATGCAAACTATGGATTTCTCAGACAGGTTTGCCTCTATCCTTGTAAATTCAGTGTCATGTGTCTATGTTCAGGGGCTCCCAAAGGAATAGAGTTTAATTCAGTGAAGGAGGTGCTGCTGTCTCTGAAAGCAGTGAAGGCCATGCATAGCCTACATCTATGGGCTCTCACCATTGGCCAGAGTCTGCTGTCTGTTCACATAGCTATAGGTAAGTTCATTAAATAACACTTGTTTCACAGTACAATTATACTGTTACAGTTCTTTTACTGTTCATTGGTATTCTTCTTTATGCAAATTATTCATATAGTTTATCTAAATGTATTATTATTTTATTTATAAGGATATTAAATGCTATGTTAAAGGTGTCCTTTTTGTGCCTCGTGTCCCCAACACTTACTGAATTAATTACTGGACATTTTATTTGAATTATTTCAAATAACATTTGAATGATTAAATATATATATATATATATATATATAACACAATTAATTATTATTTTTTTTGTTTTTCTGTGAATATTAGTAAAATATAAATTTGCATAGCCCCCATATATCACCATTACATTTTAATGGGTTAAACAAAATTTTATTTTACCTAAATTTTGTTTTACGTTTACTGTCATATTTATGTAGAATATAAATTATGAGGTCTCTTTGACCCTGTGGTTCAAATGGAATTTAATATTCATCGGTTTTATTATGATTATTATTATTTGTAGTTAGTTATATTTGCCTCAAGGTCAGTATTTCAAAATACAAAAATTAAATCAAAAGATTACAAAATTATATATTATATATATATCTCAATATATCCAAATTATACAGTGCTGCTTGAAAGTTTGTGAACCCTTCAGAATTTTCTATATTTCTTCATAAATATGACCAAAAGATCATCAGATTTTCACACAAGTCCTGAAAGTTGACAAAGAGAATCCATTCAAACAAATGAGACAAAAATATACACTTTGTCATTTATTTATTGAGTAAAATAATGGCAGCTAAACGTTTCTTGTAACTGCTGATCAGTCCTGCACAACTGCTTGTAGGAATTTTAGCACATTCCTCAGTACAGAACCGCTTCAACTCTGTTTCCCTATGAACTTGCTTCAGGTCCTTCCACACCATTTCAATTGGATTAAGGTCCGGACTTTGACTTGGCCATTCCAAAACATTTGTTTGATTAGATTCCCTTTGTCAACTTTCAGGACTCGTGTAAAAATCTGATGATCTTTCGGGTCATGTTTATGCAGAAATATAGAAAATTCTGAAGGGTTCAACAAACTTTCAAGCAGCACTGTATATATCTGAATATATCTAAATTCGCTACTTTCTAGGTACTTAAAATTTTCTTATAATATCTAGACACAAATGGCACCTGGGAATGACCCTAAATCCTTTTGCATTTCAAGTTTTAATTCATTTTAATACGAATATGATACTAATATAATATAACTAGTGTCATATTATACTAATACTAATATTTGCATACTAATATGACAGAAATATATGAACATTGAAGCACAGCATCATCTTTTTAGACTAACTTAACCGTTTTTTTTTTCTCCCAAGAGGAGAACGCTGACCCTCATAGTGTCTTAAAGGAAGCCACTGAACTCCTTCAGACCAAATTTGGCTTTTACAGCACAACCATTCAAGTGGAACCTTATTGTGAGGACATGATCCACTGCGCCCAATGCCAGGACCCTATGGACTGAGTTGAACCGGTGAGAGGAGGATGCCTGTATAAAATGTATGCACACATATTAAGCTTCATTGAGGGTCCAAGCCAGAAATGGAAACACTGTGCAAATGTATCATCTACATATCATTACGAATATGTACATGCAAAATGCATTTCTATCGATTACCAAGGAAAGAAAAAAAGAGACTTTGCAAGGTTTTGCTTGGCCGGTTGGCATCGTACATTACAGCAGAAGTGTACTGTAATTGCCTGTCCGTGGTCTTGGGAGGGTAAAAGATGGGTATTGACGTGACTTCCTTAAAAACAATTAGAATGGGGTTTATTATGCCCCAGCCAGCCTTGCGTCTGCTGTCAGCATGGTTCTCTAATCAATGTGAATGTCCACCAAACTGCGGCATGATGTTGTAGGGCTTAAAAAAAAAAGACTGTGCTCAAGTGTAATTATGGATTTTGTTGGCGATCTCTCACTAATGTCTTGTCTCACGGTACAATACTACAAGCGAGTGATTAACTCTGTTCTTCCTCAATGGCTGTGATAGTGAAGGTGCTGTTGTGGTTTTCATGTGGCTTTTAAAGAACAGTGGAGATAAAATGGCTGATGAATGAAACAACTAAGAGTGATAAAAGGTGAAGTGTGTAATTTGAAATACTTTAACTATCCCGGTTTCATGTGCAGAAATTAGTATAAGTAAAATATTGTAGGATAATATCCCAACAAATTCATTTGAGTGGTCTTTTGAATGATGTGACTGGGTCAGGACTATCTGTGATAAGCTGTTTAGCAGGGATTTGGCTATGTTCAAAATAACATACTACTATGCTACTCTTACTATTACTGCAGTATGTACACTACCATTCAAAAGTTTTAGAGTTTTAAAATCTACTTTTGATCAGCAAGAATGCATCAAATTGATCAAAAGTGACAATAAAGACTTTCACATTCTTACTAATTTTTTTTCATTCTTGAAAAAATATCACAATTGCCACAAAAATAGTAAGCGCTATCTATTTTCAACAATGTTAATAAGAAGAGATGCATCTTGAGCACAAAATCAGCATATTAGAATGATTTCTGAAGGATCATGTGACACTGAACACTGGAGTAATGACTGCTGAAAATTCAGCTTTACCATCAAAGGAACAAACTACATTTTAAAATATATATATATTTTTTTTACTGTATTTTACTGTAAATGCAGCTTTGGTGAACATCAGAGACTTCTTTCAAAAACATTACAAAATCCTACCAACCCCAAACTTGCTATACACTGTATGCAAATATCTGTTTACAGTATAGCTGACAATATGTGGATTATACCACAGCAGAAATTTTGTTGGGTACTTTATATCATTTTTAACATTTCCCAGACTCATTATTTGACCCAGACTGTCAAAAGTGATATAAAATGCAATGTTATACCATATTTAGATGATAAGTGGACAGCACTTGCTGATTTATACATACAATGTAGTACTAACATACTAACTAACAAATTTCTGTATGTATAGAATATCTTCATGTACTACATTTGCAAAATGTGCACTGATGAGCACTGTAGTTTCCCAGCATTAATTCAATTAAATTGACCTTCCATCCAATGTGATGAACAAACTGGTAGCAATATTAATCATTTTTATAATTCCAGTTTGCCCCATTATTTGAACAAACTGCTGAAAGTGAAGACATTTTTACGCACCAATTGATTAAAACCGTAGAATATACAGTGCATACTGCATAGTAGTCTTAAATATTCCATTCTAAACATATAGCCAAGTTTGAACAACAACAGAAAAGGGGTGGAAGAAAAAAAACCTGTTTGGAATCAATCATTAATTTTGCGCTCACATTAGATGGTGCTAGTAGTGGCACAGAAATTACACACTTCACCTTGCTAGGATGCTGTTGTGGGTCACTCTTGTTTGTCGAAGTCTACAGTCTACAGACAACGCACCCTCCATACACTCATGTCTTCAGGATCTGTCCAACTGTGGTCTGCGATGAGGTATAGGAAAATAGATTAGCCACACACACACACACACACGTTTTGCACAGAATTTCCATCTCTGATCTCAGTGCCGCCACACTGCCGCAGTGACTCTATGACATTCCAGCAAGTGGTGCAACACATTTCTCATATCTCTGCCGTTCAAAACTGAGGTCATGGCAGTAACATACAATATACGAAGCACATGGCTTCTGAATGTCTTTTAAAAAACATTTTCCATTTACAACACGGTTTTCTTTCCATTCGTATTTTGGTACAACTTTCAGAGCCCCTAAATGTGCACTAATGTTCATTTACATTATATGTGAAGATTTTATATAAATAAAACACTGAATATGATTTTAGACCAATAAAAGACACAATTGACAGATATGTTTTGTGTTTTAAAGCTTGCGTGTACTGATAAAATGTAGCCATTGTGATCTGTTGTGGCGTTGTGAAAGAGTTTTAAGGGTTTGCTTGCATGATTGCTTTGTTTTTTTTAAAGTGACGGTCAGTCATCATAAATGATCAACCCAAGGACCTCGCAATCTCACTGAGATTTCATTAAATTCTATATTTTGTCTATTTGTTTTGATAAAATGAATATATATTTTAAATGTGAATATCACAGTCATTTATAAAACAGAGAGAGTAAACAAAATGATAATATGAAAGGACCAATGCATAGGCAGTATATTTTTGATAATGTTGGGGTTGATGTGCCAAAACTCTAAAATCGAAAATCAATTTCAGATGCAGGTGCACTCAACCTAATGAAAGCTTCAAAACCGCTAGCAGAGTGTGAGATGGTACATCGTTGGTCATGTTTTTGACACGTTCTGCATTTTGTGTCATGAACTGAAAGACATTAATGTTGTTCTGTGGAAACTGTAAATAATCTACATGATTATTTTTGTCGTGCCTCAGATTTGTGTATGTGTACAGTATATAAATTTGCTGATTGTATAAACTTATCTGTCTATAAAAGTCCTGTGTGTAAATGTTTTGTGACCACATAAAGCCACTATATAACCAGAAACTATGATGGATATCTAATTTTTACATGCTTTTAATTTTATATCTGTAATAAAATCATGCAAATCAAACGTTTGCAGTGACTTTCACAAGAATAATTACACCATGTTCTATTAATTAGTGGTAAATATGCAAAGCAATTTTATCTAAAATTACGATGAAACAATAAAATTAAACTTTTCTGTAGCTGTAAACAATTCAGTAAATGGTACAAAAGAAATATAATTTACAAAGTATGAATATTTACTGATAAAACAGCCTAAAACTACTAACCATATCCTGAGCCTCACAGTGAGATTGAGATATTTAAATTAACACACTAAATTGAAATCCATTATAATAAGCTTATAATAAGCTTCCTTATTTAATCTTATCTGACAGACCAAAGCAGCATTAATCTGACTGGCACCTCTCCAGATTCTCATCACTGGAGTCAATTACATTCACTCAGACAAAATTGAGGTGATGAATTATGAGGCGGGTATCAAGGTGCTTCTGATCTTAAAGGGTTAGTTCACCCAAAAATGAAAAATCTGTCATTAATTACTCACCCTCGTGTTGTTCCAAACCTGTAAGACCTTCGTTCATCTTCGGAACACAATTTAAGATATTTTTGATGGAATCTGAGGGCTCTCTGACCCTCCCATAGACAGCAAGGTAACTACCACGTTCAAGGTCCAGAAAAGAACCAAGATGATCGACAAAGTAGTCCGTGTGACATCAGTGGTTCAACTGTAAAGAAAACAAAAATAACGACTGTATTCCACATTTTCATCTCTACTGCGTCACTTTGGACGCGCGTTCACGACAGTATCACCGCCACACGCTCGCGTCATGATACTGTTGTGAACGCGCATCCAAAGTGACGCAGTAGAGATGAAAATGTGGAATAAAGTCGTTATTTTTGTTTTCTTTGCGCAAAAAAAGTATTCTCGTAGCTTCGTAACTTAACAGTTGAACCACTGATGTCACACGGACTACTTTGTCGATCATCTTGGTACTTTTCTGGACCTTGAGCGTGGTAGTTACCTTGCTGTCTATGGGAGGGTCAGAGAGCCCTCATATTTCATCAAAAATATCTTAAACTGTGTTCCGAAGATGAACGAAGGTCTTACGGGTTTGGAACAACACGAGGGTGAGTAATTAATGACAGAATTTTAATTTTTGGGTGAACTAACCCTTTAACGTCAGAGTGCTATTGGTTCAGGGACAACATGAACTCACATGCAGGCAATTATCAGCGGAGTCCATGATGCCCGTACAACTCTGGCCAGACCTGAGTAAGAAGAATGTACAAGACAGAAAAGAGGTAATAAAGACTTGAAATGGGTAGGAATAACAATAATGGACAAGAAAGCTCAAAATGCAGAATTTTGGTTCGATCCAGGAAGGGTTCGGCCAAAAATGAACATTTTGACTACTTACCCTCATGTTTTTCCATACCTGTTTGACTTTATTCCTTCTGTGGAGCACAAAAGGTGACATTTTCACACATGTAATGCCCACTCTTTTCCATTTAAAGAAAGTGAATAGGGATTTGGGCTCCAAAGCATCAAAATGACCAAAATTTCAGAAAATAACAAAACAAAACAAGAAATTACACAGAACTTAATTAATTCACTACGGTACTTTAGCCAAATTTAGGTTCATTATAATCTTCTCACCTTATTCGCAAGGCTGCACTGTGATTGGACATGTAATCGTTTAATGATTGGTCAACTTGCAATGACATCAGAATTAACATATTGTATCTAAAGGCCCGATATTTGAATATATGTAGATGAGGACAGTGAAGGGCAAGATTTTTAATTTTTATAGAATGGAAAAACATTTCTGTTTTCGTGTTCCACAAAAGATATAAAGTCATAAAGGTTTGGAACGACATCATGATGACGTTTAATTTTTGTGTTACTATTCCTTTAAAATTAAGATTCAGGGTAAGAAAGCTAGAGCTAAAGGGGAAAAAAACATCTTGATATGATAGCTAAGAGAACAGGCTAGTAAATATCAAAGATTCAATCCAATGTTTTCTCACTAAATCACAATCATAATATAGCACTGAACTGGAACAGGAGGAAACAGAGAATAATGCTCCCTGTAAATGGCACGGGTATATAAGTGCTGAGGATTTCATTCTCCACACATACTTTGGAAAGAACAACGTGTCGAGATACTAAACTAAAAACAACACAAACAGACTTTCTGTCTGAGTTTCACAATGGTGAAAAGAAGTTCAAAAGGTTTTCCTCTCTGTACAGTACTAAAAACAAAATGCACAAAAATATAAAAACAGGAATATGCAGAGGCTTATCAAGATAGTTTTCCTTCTTTCAATATAAGTTAAGTATAAAAAGTGTGTCATCAGTCTTCTAAAAATAAAAGTCTCTCAGCCTATTATGACAGCACAGACAATTTCAGGATAGAGCTGAGAGGGTGTGGGGGTGGAGACTAGTGCACTTGTACTGTAGCCGCTGTGCTGTGACGGACAGCTGTTGCAGAGTCATCGGGCTCCTGAGACTGGAACATGGCGCTAAACTGGGCTTGAGCTTCACGCAACTGCTTGAGCATCACGGAGCAGCTCAGTCCACGTGCACAATTCACACGCACCAAACCCGACTGCCCGCCTGACAGGATCCAGTTGTATGCATCCATGTTTGGGTTAAAACGGACCTGAGAGAATAAAAACACAAATTTTCTTAAAGGGGACATAACACACACACAGTTTCTGCCAATCTCATATTAATCTTGAGTACCTATAGAATAGTATTGCATCCTTCATATCTCCTAAGAGTCTTTAGTTTTATGATCAGATTTATAAAAGACAGATACAGCTTTATGATTCTCTCCGAAAACAGCCGAGCACCTGGAGGCATGCCGTGGGCGGAGCTAAAAAGTCAAGAGCACGCAAAGCATTATGGGAACTGCGTCCACTGTTCCCATAATGCTGGGTTCTTTTGGGAAGCTGAACAAGGTTATCTTTCCTTCACAACCAAAAACACACTTCTGTGGTGACATTGCTGAATTTGTGGTCTAAAAACAAAATTACAAATAGTTTTCGAGCAAGTCCTGTGCAGCGCTGCCAACGAATTCCATAACAGGAATGAAGAACGTTGATGGGAGTGCTCTTGCTCTCGTTCTGGTTGATGTGTGCTCGCGCCCTTCCGGGAGAAGTGCCCATACAAGGAATTCCGCCCTTCATGACGTCATGGAGGGCCATACTCGAAAAAAAACTTTTACAAACCCTGAAGGTATATATATATTGGTCTGAACCTCTTCTCAGATTAATTAGTAATTACAAAGGCCTGTTTAACCTTCTGGTCCTGCATGTCCTCTGTGGGTCACTGGACTATACTGCTAGCAATAAAGCATTTCAGCACAGCTCTAATCACTCTGTGCATGTGGCTCTGCTCAACAATTTTAATAATTAAAATATCTATGTAATTATTATAATGAAAATGTATGTATATATATATATATATATATAAACGTCATTGAATATATACTGTATATACATGTAAATATTTCTTAAATACATACATGTATGTGTGTGTATTTATATATAAATATACATAGTACACACACACACACTTTATGTAAACACAAACTTTTATTTTGGATGCGATTAATCGATTTGATATATATATATATATATATATATAAATATATGTGTGTGTGTATCCAAATTAAATTGTCTTAAAATTATTAAAATTTTATTATATGCAGTATAAAAAATTTCAATTTTATATTAAAATTGTTCATTTTATTTTTCATATTTTACTCATTATAATATCTGCATAACATTATGAGTGATCATTACATCAATAAAATGCAACTGGGCATTTGTTACAATCCTTCTAACTATTCCTTACCGTGCAGTCTTATTCAGAAAAACTCACCTTCTCAATCTACACAGTCTGCTTTCCTGCTCTCCTCCCATCATCCTCTCTAGATCCAGAGTGACATTTTCCTAATTTTACAGGCCATTAGCTTCCGCCCATCTTCTTGCTTAACTGCCAGCAAACCACACGCTCTTTCTCTCTCTTTTACTGGCCTGTGCAAATACAGCAGTGCACTGACACTGCTACACACAACTATAGCTTATCTAAAACCAGTAACAATACAGCTAATACAGGTTCAGTCTACACAGGGTGATTGTTGATGGATCACTTTATGGGGAACATATTTAGAACCAAAATCTTATATTACATGGTGAAAGTATACATATTTTTTTTTTTACACAGCTCTCTTGAATACTTGATTTTGATTGGTCTACGGCAGACCCGTAGACGGTCAACTACTACTAAAAATTGTCCTTGGGTTTCAGACGTTATCCTGACATAAAACAAGCATGATCAGATGCAGATGGCATGCGGATTTTCAGGTTATTTCACAGCTCTGCACTGATAGGGTGCTGCAGGTGTCAGTGAGGGCCTCAGCTGGGCTTGTGTGCTGCTGTATAGATAAATGCAATCTCACCTTGTAGAGCGCGCTCAGTGGCATCTGGTCCACTTTAGCAACACCTTTGACCTCATGCTGGTGCAGGTGCTTCATCATGGGCCGATTTTCACTCTTAGCATAGGACCCCTGAGAGAGAGGAAAAAAAACCTAAAACAAACAAACAAAAAAACCCCCCCAAGGAATCTTTGAAACGTATTTTTATGAAAGAGAGTGACAAGTGCATTCTAGAAATGAGGTTACTATGACAGTATATGACTTAAAGATAATGACTTAATATTCAGTGTTTTCTTCACACAAAGCTAGAGCAAGGCGATAAATTAATGCACCAATATTAAAATTCTAGATATGTTAATTCTAGAATGTTAATATTCTGTGTAAAAAAAAACAAAAAAAAAACAACTATACTAAAATCACAATATTTAAAAGTACAGTATGGAAAATTTTAAGATTTGCGGCAATGTAAATGTAAAATGAAACATTTGTGCAATATTAAATAATACAGTATATAATTTAATATATATATATAACGGTTGAAGGTCCAAATTGCAGTTTCAGTGCAGCTTCAAAGGGCTCTACATGATCCCAGCCAAGGAATAAGGGTCTTATCTAGCCAAACCATCGGTCATTTTCTTAAAACAATAACATTTATATACTTTTTAACCACAAATGCTCGTCTTGCTCTAGCTCTGCTTGCGCGTCTTCACGTATTACGTAATCCCATTGGAAAGGTCACGCGCGGTTAGCTCTTCGTCTGTGTTCAGAAAGGTAGGGTAGGCCGAAAAACTCCATCTTATTTTCTCCTCCAACTTCAAAATCGACCAACATCGTTCTTTTACCTTTTTTTGTAAAGGGCGTTTGACTTTCTTTGCACGTTCACTTTGTAAACGCTGGGTCGGTGCTTCCGCCTACGTCACGCGTGACCTTTCCAACGTAATTACGTAATGCGTGAAGTCGAGCTAGTGCACGACTAGCATTTGAGTTTATAAAGCATATACATTTGTATTTTTTTTTTTTATAAAATGACCGATGGTTTGGCTAGATAACACTTTTAAACAAACTTTTAAACAAGATGAGCATGTGTACATTTTTCTTATTTTAAGTATCTTTTTTTTCTCCATTTAGTACTGCCCTTCAGGAGCTACAGAAGATCCTTACATGTTTCCCAGAAGACAAAATAAGTACAATTTACCATAATCTCCAAATTCAAAAAGCATGGTAAGCTTAGGTAGATCGTAGAACCATTGGCACCAATAGTTTTCTACAATCTACAATGCTTTTGAGAAATGCAGCCCTGGCCTGTTCCAGACCGTACCCTTAAAGTGGACATGTGCAGTGCGCCGTGGATGGACGGACGGATGGGGGTGGAGCGCTGGAGCGTGAGACAGCAGAACAGATGGAGCATCTCTGTGATGGGGGGTAGGCCTCCAGGCAGGCATGACTTTAAATTAATGAAGGGTGCAGAACTTAATCAACATATAAAACATATGATGCATGATGAGTCTCATAGGGATAGGAGAGAGAGGGGTGCCACTATGATAACATGCAGACAGCACTCCTGGGCTCTCCTGCACTCACTCAGGTGTGCTGGGAAAATAACTAAGCCAATAAATCCAATCCGGCCATGGCACCAGCACAGTCTGTGTGTAATGATCTGTGGAATAGGCTGCAGTACACAGTCGCTATCACACACAGCTCATACATAAACAGCTGCTATCATATTCACACATTAAAGAGGCCACTAATGGATTTTTACATGGTCTTGCAAACACATACATACTAAGTCAACGTTTTACACATGAAAAACATACAGAAAATCAGGAGCGTATAAACCAATATAACTGGGGTGGACACGTCCTTCCAACTTCCAGTAATTTACACCCACTTTATTGAATTTTAAAAGTATGGTCCACCCAAAAATGTTAATTCTGTCATTACTCACCCTTGTGTCGTTCCAAACCCACAAGACTTTGGTTAATCTTCTAAACACAAATTTTTAATGAAACTTGAGAAGTTTCTGTCCTTCCATTGAAAGTCTAAGTAAATAAAACTAAAATACCCAAAAAAAGATCCATAAAGGCGTCATAAAACTAATCTATATGAATCAGATGGTTTAATCCAAGTCTTGTGAAGAGATACAATCACTTTGGTGAACAGACTCTTGTTTTACATCTTGT